TATCAGTACATACATATTTGATTTATATATAGGTAAGAAGTATAGTCACCGCTTAACGTATAGCTTTACATTTTTTAACTATGTACTTAAACGACAGAGTTGATTCTTTAATTATAATATGTATTGATTCAGAAAAGAAACTTTAATTTGGTACAACCGCTGTTTTTATTTCGCTGGTTAGTGGTTTTTGAACAAAAATGACTATTGCCTCTATAAAAAAAAGGAAAGCATGCAGTCTTATATATCATACAGGATCAGTGAAAATCCTGCATAGTGGAGCTGTTAGCTCAGCAGTACTATTGCGGGAAGGCCATTCAGTCCTCAGTGGCATTGTTAGAGTCTAGGCCTTTATGTATTCGCTTTGCTTGTGTATTCGTTTCTGGTCCTGGCATTGAGGAAAATACTCTCAGGATAGTAGGGGCCGGGGGAGACTCTTCTTCAGGATCGATCTACAGTAGATTTTGATCCAAGCATTTCTGCGAGAAGTAGCAAGAAAACCTCAAAAATAATTGGTATTAGATTTGTTATGATCGTGATGAATAACTCAAAAAATGGACTGTATGAAAATAATTTACTGGAAAACTGGAGGACGATATAATTAAATTGGCTAGTTCAACCACGTTCAGTGAAGCTAATGACAATTTCATAAAATTAGCATTGTGGCCATATTATTAATTAATGCTTGGCCTAGACAAGATTTTTGGATTTTAATCTCTTTGCGTATTCAAATAATAATCAATAGGGAACTTTACAATTTTTTTTTATTTTTTCAAATCATTTATTTATGCCTTAAAAGAGTGTTCCCAAAATATTATTTTCTAAAACTCAATAATAACTTGGTGAAAAATGTTTAAAGTTTCGCGCGTATTAAAAGCATTTCAAACGACCTTAAATGCGCGCGAATCTGGATGACGTCACGTAGTATGATTTTGCGTCACCTTGTCGCCAAATGTTATACTTCATTGTATTTAATTTGGTTGATTTCCACATTTTCCACCGTTATTTGTTTTGTTGTTGTTTTGTGTTGCAGCGAGTTGTAAATTTTAAAGTTATAATGGAAAAAAAGATTCGCACATAAAATGTGTTTTTTTTTTTAAAGATAAAAGTCAAAATGACATTATGTTGGCAATACAATGTAAAATTGTCAATGCTTTCAAATTTTTTATGTAGAAAAGCCTTGTGTTGCCAACATAGTTACTAAATTTTTGACTTGGGGAATTATCTTTAAAAAAAAACAGACTTTACTTACTTTTGCTACCATAAACATATCACAAATTACAGTAGGCATGATGACAAATTTTGAAAAACTATCCTATAATGTTCGGAAATGTATATTATTCACAATGAATAATAAAGGTTTTAGTAGAAAAAATTACATTTTAGTTTTTATATTCAAAATTCGCGCCAAAACGCTTCTCAGTGTCATGGCGTCATACGTGACGTCACGTTTGAGTAAACAAAACCTAAACGCTCATTGAAAATTTGAATAATTTAGATATTTTGTGTAATTAAATATGAATTCCAAAATGTACAAGTGGTGTGCGGTTCCTCAGTGTGATAACACATCATTAAAAACTCCTGGAAAGTTATTTGCCTTCGTTCCACAAAATAAAACGATAAGGGACAAGTGGCTTAAACTTGCAACGCGAGATTCAATAGCAATATTGCCTAGAACTTACCTTTATTTTTGTGAAAATCCTTTCAACGCAAGTATTTAATTTACTTCGTAGATTTTAAAATAGTATGTATCTTGTTTGAGGTCTAAAAATATAAAAACAATCATACTTAGATAGAAGTTTTACCATTTCTTGATTCTTTTCTGCTTAATCTTTGTTCCATGACTCGCGTTATTTCACTTTTGATTCAATATTCGGTATAAACAACACACGGTATAAACAAAATTGAGTGTCGCAAATTAAATCGCAAGAAAATCACGGAACCAGTCGTTTGTTAACTGATTTACTCAAAAGTGACGTCATTCGTTCTGATTGGCGTTTAACATAATATGGCGGACCTTCGTATTTTGCAGTTTTATTTTATCAAAATAATCATCAATCTGGCTCCTAATAAAAAAATAAATGCGTGTTTCGTATTCCATGAGTCAAGTTTCATCAAGTGAAAACACAATTTAAGTGATTTTCAATTACTGTCATCATGCCTATTAATAGGTATATCGCTTTATTTATGTAATGCTGAGCTAATCATTGAATTTAAGCTAAGTAAACCAATTCTAATAATGATAAAATTTTAAAAAAATAGAGAAAAACGTGGATAAACACAACTAACGGGTATTTATTATGTAGAGTTCGAGCTGCTGTTTTGTTCTTTTATCCCTACCTGTTCTTCTCATTATAAGGAAAAAAGACAAAAAATGCTCCGAGCGCTCAGTGTTTCAAGACGAACTCACGGTATGATGGACGTTTGCTGACAGACACTGACAAATCATACTAGATGACGTCACGACCAGTACCAGCGCGTTTTTTTCCGCTGGAAATAATTTGAATTTTTCCGCATTTTTAATTCCTTATTGCGGCCGTTTGCGACAAAAAAAAATTGTTTTTTTTTTCGCTGATAATGTTTTAACATAATATATTCTTATGATTTATAGTAATAATATTTTCATGTTTAAATTTTTTGTCAAGTTCCCTATTGTCGAGGTAGGAAATATTAAAATATAATGGGTAAAACATAATACCTTTTTGTAATATCTCCCATTTCTGATGCAGTTTCTGTTGTAGATCCACCAGAATCCTTATTTTTTGTATGTTGCTCAACCCTGACCCTGCTAACAAAAAAAAAATAAAAATATTTTTGATTTATTATATCTAGTAATCAAAAACGGCACTCCAATACTTTTTAATAGATTAATAAAGATATCTGTCATCAAGGATACCTTTTTATGATTTCCTTCACTGGGCTGCTTGAGGGGCCTGCCATATTTCTGTCAGACTGCAAAATAATGATTTCAGACCCACTGGGCTGCTCCACGAGAGTTTCAAAATTATCATCCAAAGGTCTGAAAATAATAATGTGAGATGAAAAAACGTACCTAGCAGGAAGGCCTGGAAATACTCCTTGAACTGTTCTATATCACATCAAACTTACTTTGAATAGAAGAGATTTCCTGCGGGTTTCTGTCAGGTGACTCAACAAGGGTAGAGTCCGAACTAAATAATAATAATAATAATAATAATTTGAGAAAAAGCTGAGAGAAAAAGTGACAAAAAAAATATGATCCATGAATTCATAATATACACTAAAGATATTTAAAGAAAATACTTTATGTTAGTTCAACCTTACCTAAAAGATGATGGATCTTTGAACGCAGCAAGCCTGGGTTCAGCATCTGGCCTTATCCTTTTTTTTTCCAGTCAGGCTTATTGTTGTTACATCACTGGGATCAAAATGATCCGAGCAAATGAAGGAAAATTTATGTACGTTCGCATTTTCCAAGCCCAAAATGGAAATCCACTTTTTCCTTCTTTCCAGATTTACAGGAAAACTACAACAAAAATTATAATAGAACCTAGTAATAGTGTATAGAGTCAAAGTTTATAAAGTTCAAGCTCACAATTCTTACTTCTTAATGCGTAATTTTAAAAATTCAGAGTTGAAACCAATTCTACATTAATCTACTTATCGCAAAACACTTCAAAATACGGTTATATCCCCTTTTTAAGCCTAAACTCTAAACATTAAACCATCAGGTGCTGTATAAACTCGTTTCTGTTGTGAAATAACAACTAATTTCAAATTAGTATTAGCAACTCGATTAGCAATAATTCATTGTGCATTAAGCAATAAGCATTATGAATTATACACTATTATTGGCTAGCTAAACAGGGCCCAAAGTTGAATAAAACTATTGAGGAATATGTACCTATCGTGAGCACTTACCTATATTGATTCAGGAAAACTTAGATTATTGCTGTAATTTAATTTCTAGATCTCAAATAAAAAGTTTCCTCTGAATTTTTCCCAGAATCTAATAGAAAGTTTACAATAAATTACCATAAATACCCTCTAACTACGCCAATGGCGGCCAATGTCAAGAGTAAAATGATGTCAAATTTCTTACCGCCGAAATATCGAATTCTGCTTTGAATCCTTACAGATAATACATCGACGTACCATTGTTACTGTCTCCACTACACTTTCTATAGTTTTGAATCCAAAAATAACACTCAAAATCACAAAAAATCACAAATTTAGCTTGATCACTTTCCAGCAACACTGCCAAATCCCTAATGGATGCCAAAAGTCACATAAAATCATCTGATTGGCTGCTCGTAGATGCAACGTTGCCGATGTGACGTTTTTCAAGCCATATATTCCTGGTTATTCCAGAATTTTCACCAATTTAAATTAAAAAAAAGACTAATTATCATTTTCAAAAAGGCGTTTAAGTTATGTTTCAACAAAGATTGATATAAAAAAACATTTACATTATGTTGAAACATATTTTGGAATAATGATTATCCGTGAAAACATTTAATATTGAAAATCACATCGGATTATTGGCAACCGGGCATTTCATGCAAAAATCGACCTTATGGATGTTGGATCGCAAATTGTTTGTTTACTGTTGTATCTGTCGTTTTTAGTTGTTAATCTGAGATTTTATCCCAGTTCATATTGGTGTAGTTTAAATTTCCTACTGCAAATCTATGGATTTTGGTTGAAAATTATATCATGCTTACCATCAAGATTCTGATGTGGTTTGCATAATGAATTTATCCTCATCCATTTATGAAGCAACCTAATCAAACCATACAGCAGCGGCTGGGGCTTCCATCTGATTCTTTTAGGATACAGTGCAGTTTTCTTTTATTTCTACCACAATGCATACCCCTCTCTAATATTGACGGACCTCTCCAACATGATGTAACCATCTAGACAGACAATCTGTGTCATCTTGTGTTTATTTTTCTATAAGCATAAAAAATGTTGGACATTTTCTCAATACTCAAACACAGTTTACTCAAACTTGTCAGTATCCACTCATACATTTTATTCACAACACAACAGATTATAAATAACTAATTTTGATTTTTCTTTATTTCAGAACTGATGGTGTGTATCCGTGAGGAGCGCAACAATTTTACGCAAACTTACAGACTAGTCTTTAACAAGCCTCAATACGTATACCAGTAAATTAACAATAACTTTAGTACAAGATTTACGATTTAATATTAAATATGTAAGACTTAATTATGGATTCACAGTTGTGTACAGATCACTGCACCCCCTCGTCCCTATTTGTTTTTTTCATAATAATTAATGGTCCTGTTTGTTCAATTAATACAATTTTATAGATGTTTTTTCTTATTTATTTGTGTACCTCAATAATTCACCCGCCAAAGGAGGATCCAATTTGTTGTATAAGCAACTGGGGAAACTCCTACAGCGGGTGTTAATTTTTTTTTCTAACAGTTTATTTGTTTATGTGTTGGGTTTATATGGAATGTTTACAAGATGAAAAATATATCAGTTATCAAGTTAAAATAGTGTTTTTTTTTCCCAAATTCTGTTTCAGTTTTCTATCTTAATACTAGAACATTTAAAAAAGCTACAACAAACAACACAGAGAAAATATAAAATATGAAATAACAACAAAAAAAAAACATGTAAACTAATCTCAAAAAAATAAAAATAGACTAAACTTGAAAATAATTCTTATCTTGTTTCAAATTTATAAAAACAATGATCTTCAGGCTCTTTTGACCCTAAAATTATTTGGCGAAAATATGATGCTCCCAATTTCTGTTGTCCTTCATTGCATGGGACAAGACAAATTATTTCTTTGGTAAATTAGGAAGTATGTAATATGTACAACAAAATAAAAAAATTTTTGGCTTTAACAAATTTGGTAACAATATTTTCAAGCAGATCTTAAAATTTCAAAGCAATAACTAGCAGATCCAGAGTAAAAATTATAATACTGCCGATTACTATAATTCGATTTGAAGCTCAAAAACTCCTACATATTCTTACTAATCACAATAGTAGGTACAACTTAATTTATACAATTTTTTTTTATCTGAATGCCCTAATGCTTATATACTGCCAATTACCCTGAAAAAAAGTGTGAAAATTAATTAGGGCATGTTAAAATATGTAGTACTTACAGAGATTCCAATATCCCAGCCAGATCCTGCAGGGTTCTCAAGTGAGATACCCAATCTCCTTATCACAGCTCCACCATCTGTAACAGCCCAAACTTCAGTTTTACACGCGCTGACATGTTTGAAACCTTTTGTATGTGGAGCAGAATCTAAAGCAAAATCACAATAATAAAGTAAAATTTATTAAGCTTGTTTTCCTACTAATTATTGGTGGATCCGCAATTATATTTTGCCAATGAGTGCCTTCAGGGAATGTAGATGTCACTTCTTTTCTAACATTTATCCTGCCCAAAGCATCCACGGCCCAAATCCCTACCGAGTTCACTGATATTTGCTTTAGCTGTGCACCTGGAGGTTCAACACAAATCCAGCTAGAATCAAATATTCTTAAATTTGCATCTTGTCAAAACATCTCTTCTCACCGTTCCCCTTCTAATTTATCTTGCCTAATCCCCACCCTTACATAAGCACAACCCTTCCTCCCAGTAGCCCACACCTGATTGAATGGACCACAACTGATGCTACTCAAAGGTTGGTCTGTGGTAATGTGTTCCCAAATGTGACCCTAAAAATAGTATCGCATTATGTTTTTTTTTCTTAAAACTAAATATTCTATACCAATGGGTTAGATCTAGATGTTCCAGCACGGAACATGGCTTGCCCACCAGAAGCCAAAGCCCAAACCGCAATTGTACAATCGGGATCATCATTTACAGGCTCCAAAGAGACATCTAGTAGTTTAGTATGCCCAAGCTCTTGCCATGGACCTGTAGTAGCTACTGCACACCTTCTATACCATCTAAACAAAAATATTTCACAGTTAGCTCAAATAAATATCTAATACTTTTATATTTAATACTAACCGTCTTCGTCTGACTAGATCAGTGAATTGTTTGGTAGCGTGGTAGGTGGCGGGAAAATCAACTGCATACTGCCAACCTTCTCGGTCTACACCGCCAGGGACGTGGAAATCTACCATCCAATCTGAAACCCACTGCCAACGTGAGGATAGGAGTTTGACTTGGTCTTTTAGGCGCTTTTGTCGACCGGTGACGTCACTCCACATGTGTCGGTCAGTAGGCAAACCTAGAAAAAAACGTGTTTAAACATGATGTAGTTTAAAACAAAAATTTTGAAGTATTTCAGGGTGTTTCTGAATTTCAATATCCGTAGTACTAAACTATACTAAAGATACAAAATTTAAATGGAAATCCAAACAGACATAATCGCAAATAGACGACAAAGCAGTGAAAGTTACCTGTAAGGATGCTATTGTACTAACTCAAACAACGCGTTAAAAGAGTCTCTCCAGTGACTTCAATGATAACCTACTAAATGAGGTGGTACTGGTATATTGTATAAAAAATGTCCTGGATACAAACTCAGGAGAATCTAATCTATCAATGCGGAGTTGACTGGAGGTGGTTTTATGATGATTGAACAACACAGCGAGTACCTTTTAACCGAGAGATTTATGAGTAGCCTCAAGATAAACTGATAAAGCAGACTAAAGCAGTGAAAAGAGGGAAAACACTTGAAAGTAGAGTTGAACAGCTACAAAAACAAATTGCCTGGCAAGCAACCTCAGTTGCACTCAATGTTTTAAAAAGTGCATTTTTAAGGCACATCCTATGAGTCGAAGATGAGCTATTTGGCTCGCCCTGTGATTCGTGCAAATTAATATTTTGTAAAATTTGTGCAGAATTAAAAACCACTGAATCTCACACTCTTGCTTTGACAGAGAGAAGTTTGCTTTTTCAGGTAACATTCAGAAACATGTACATAAGTCAGGAAAGAACAGATGATCTATTCCGGGAACATAAGCAATTGATCGCTTAAGAGGGGCGTCAGCTAAGAGCCATCGCGCCATCTTTTGGGCTTTATGACATACATTAAATATTTTTCAATCACAGGTGTTCAAATTCTCTGTAAGTGATTGACTTATTTACAAGTAGATGGCGACATCTTCAATATCAATTCGTTTACACAGTAATTTACAGTGGACTAAATAAATTTATTCAGATACAAATAAAATAATAGTATTTCACATTTTTAGCTAGGTGAAACAGTTTTTACTGGCGTTTAAAAGAAGTAACTATTCTTCCCGAACTCAGCGACATCTTTTAGAGAAGCGCTGAACATACGTTTGGTTTCAGTCTGCTGAAAATGACAGCAATCACCTCGTTGTTTGGCATATTTTGATTAATTTTGTGATACAATAGTATATCGTGTATTTAGGAGGAAAAGTGACACATTCTCGGCCGACGGTGTAAGTTAATGGGCGAGGCATAGCCGAGGCCGGCAAACACCGAAGGCCGAGAATGTGTTTTTCCACCGAAATACACATACTATTTTTTCTGCGATCGGTTAAATACCTGTTAAAAGTTTTTTTTTACTTCCAATTATTTAGCAATACGAGAATCACTTTCCCGGCCTAGGCCGGAAAAGTGTTTTCCTACAGCTGTGCGGAAAAATCGATTTTCCGCACTGATATGCGTGCGGAAAATGAGTTTTCCCGCACGGTGCGGTAAAACTTTTTTTTTTGACATATCAGTGCGGAAAAAATTTTACCGCACTGCTGTCAGTGCGGAAAAAATTTTACCGCACTGATATGCCAAAAAAAAAGAAAAATTTTACATTTTTACGCCTTTAGGAAAAATATTGTACCTAACACTTGCGGAAAATATTTTTCCGCACGCGGCTGCCGTTCACCGAACGACGCGTAGCGGAGTTCGGTGATGCACTTGTTAGGTAAATAGCTATTCTAGTATGTTGTACCCAGTCAAATGATTTTTCATAGTCTATAAAGCATGCGTATACAGGAATAGAAATATCTCTAAATCTTTGATCCAGTACTTGGATGCTAAACAGGGCCTCTCTTGTACCAAAACCGTTACGAAAACTAAATTGGAATCTGCCCGTGAAGGACTCGCACTTTGTGTATATTCTTTTATGGATGATCTTAAGAAAAATCATCAAGCTAACAAGGCGATAATCGCTACATCTTTAAGCAGAGCTTTTTTTACGGAAGCGTCACAAAAATTGGATTAAGCCAGTCAGAGGGAATGATGCCCACCATTGCGTGTAGTGATTCTTCATTGCTGGATTTTAATAAGTTCTGAGTAGACACCGTCTGGGCCTGTCGCTTTCCCGTTTTTGCATAACTCAATGGCATGTTGGACTTCTTCCTTAGCAGATATATCTTGTTCTTCTCGTGAATACTATTCAGGAATGTCTGATCTCTCGTTTTTCCGCACTGCTGTCAGTGCGGAAAAAATTTTACCGCACTGATATGCCAAAAAAAAAGAAAAATTTTACATTTTTACGCCTTTAGGAAAAATATTGTACCTAACACTTGCGGAAAATATTTTTCCGCACGCGGCTGCCGTTCACCGAACGACGCGTAGCGGAGTTCGGTGATGCACTTGTTAGGTAAATAGCTATTCCCGTATTGTTATTCATTGATTCCTTAGCAACTATTGAATCATAATTGAAATACCAGAACATTGAGTTTTGCGACCTGTCTACCGGTCAAAAATGCTGACATTTCTTGTCAATCGCAGAAAAACATTATAATTTTCGAAAATTCTGTTCTCCTCATTTTTTCCAGCATTTTACTATCCGAAATTTTGGACATTTATTGTTGGTGTACTACTCTATATGTTTATCCCTTTTTCATTTAAATCCGTGACCAAAATTTGCATATTGTTGTCAACAAAAATGGTAATAATTTTACTATTTAGAATGCGTATTTTGCAACCAAAAATGCTTCAAACGATACTCCAATCTATTATTGTTATGAACATAGCTTCATTTCACTGAAAAGTGGTCTAAAGAACATCTCACACTTCTTATGGATTTCGGTCACCGACAGATTTTGTTGAAACTTTAGTATATTATTTAAGAAGGCGAAATAAGCATTTTCTTTCATTGCATCGACCTTGTAGCGATACAGGGTGATACTGAAAAATCAGGTCAAAGTGTTTTTTTTTTTTAAATTATCTACTGGTAAAATAATGTAATTCAACTTTGATAAAATAAAAACTTATATACAATGTGTCCAAGATAAGGAGGGCCAGTATGGGGATCTCGGAAACAGTAAAAGATACGATGTGGCTCAAATTAGGAAAAAGTTGCGCAATTTTGTGCTCATTAAAATACTGCTCTGATATTTCAAAAATTCAAAGTGATACCAAAAATATCCGGGAAAACCCGAAATTCGCCCAAAACGATTTTATTTTTTCCTGATCTTATTTGAAGATATATTTCAAAATAAATGGCACTTCATTATTGCCACTTTTCCTCCTCTACAATATGGCATTAACAAATTGGTAATCCGACGTGTCATCTTTGGGCCACCATACCATCAGATCACCATACTGGCCCTCCTTATCTTGGACACATTGTATAGGTACTCCATAAAAATGATACTTCAATTTCTAGCATGTACAGGGTGGTCCAATTTGGATACTATTAATAGGAAAAGCTTCATAACTTTTTTATTCATGGAAATAATTGGTTTCCGTAAGAACTTTCTAGAAGTACTTTTTCAAGCAGAATCCAGTGATATTCTCAGTGTTTTTCTCTTTGGCCCCGATTTCGAGATATCGGGTCCGATTTTTTTTTTGATAGGACACCTTATATATAAGTTACTTATTGGATAGCTCTGCTTTGGCTGATTCCAATGATACTGCATCAAATCTTCAAAGACACCCTGGCGCAAATATAAATTCGGATCACAATCCGCTTGTAGCGAACATCCAGTTGACACTAAAAAGAAAACGAACAACTCGAGATTGGATCTGATAATGCTAAACAACTTACCAACTCTGGCCGAAGTTAGAAACGAATTAGATAATAAACTGAACGTAATAAACAGGGCAGAGAATCAAGAAGTGGAGACTGTATGAACCGGTATCAGGAAAGTTTTTGTTAACGTCGGCTTGGAATTTCCATCAACACTAGGGTCAGGAAAAAAGCTTGGATGACTGATAAATTCCTTGACTTGATGGAAGAAAGACGTCTGCAGAAAGACCCAGCCAGCATATCGTCAGTTGAATCGTGAAATGAAAAACATAGTCAGGGTAGCTAAAGAAAATTGGCTAAGTGAACGGTATGAGGAAATCGAAGCAAAATATGACTTCAATATGCATACGAAAATTAGAGGAGCTGCTGATGTATACAAACCCCGACAGACCGGCGTTCTGTTGGACAGTCAAGGTAAGATAATTCTTGATGTCAACGACAAAGTGAAACAGTGGAGTAGCTACATCAAAAGCCTGTTTCAGGACGAGAGATCAGACATTCCTGAATAGTATTCACGAGAAGAACAAGATATATCTGCTAAGGAAGAAGTCCAACATGCCATTGAGTTATGCAAAAACGGGAAAGCGACAGGCCCAGACGGTGTCTACTCAGAACTTATTAAAATCCAGCAATGAAGAATCACTACACGCAATGGTGGGCATCATTCCCTCTGACTGGCTTAATCCAATTTTTGTGACGCTTCCGTAAAAAAAGCTCTGCTTAAAGATGTAGCGATTATCGCCTTGTTAGCTTGATGATTTTTCTTAAGATCATCCATAAAAGAATATACACAAAGTGCGAGTCCTTCACGGGCAGATTCCAATTTAGTTTTCGTAACGGTTTTGGTACAAGAGAGGCCCTGTTTAGCATCCAAGTACTGGATCAAAGATTTAGAGATATTTCTATTCCTGTATACGCATGCTTTATAGACTATGAAAAATCATTTGACTGGGTACAACATACGAAGCTTATAAAAAATCTCAAGAATGTCGGCCTAGATGATAGAGAACCCAAGATCATTGCAAATCTCTATTGAAATCAGACTGCACAAATCAAGATAGACCAACAAATGTCTGATGAAGTACGGATGAAAAGAGGTGTCCGGCAAGGTTGCATCCTCTCACCATTACTTTTTAATATTCATTCGAACAAAGTATTTGGAAAAGCATTAGAAAACTGCACTGAGGAAATTTCTATCGACGGCGCGAACATCAACAATCTTCGGTATGCCGACGATACGGTTTTAATCGCTGATTTTCTGGAAGGTTTTCAAGTATTAC